GAAGAACTTCTTCACAGTTAGAGTGGCCAAAGTCTGGAATGGGCTCCCAAGGGAGGTGGTGCTCTCCCCTACACTGGGGGTCTTCAAGAGGAGGTTGGATAGGCATCTGGCTGGGGTCATCTAACCCCAGCCCTCTTTCCTGCCTATGCAGGGGGTCGGACTCGATGATTTATTGAGGTCCCTTCCGACCCTAACATCTATGAATCTATGAACTTCATAGCTTTAAAATGTTCAAAACTTATTGAGCCATGCACATCCCTGTCAGCCTCAATAGAACTGGCAACAATGGGTAAACAATTTAACAGGATTAAGATGAAATGAGGTTGAGCTGCTAGCAGTGTTTTCTCCTGTTTGGCATAGGGTGTACAAGTTTTTTAAAAGTGTAGTGCATTTATTAGCAAAGGATGGTGTATAGCTGCAATTTACTAGCTTTACTCTACTTGCAAATTACAGGTATCCATTTCAGATGAACCAGACACATTATACAGGAGACTGTCAGTTTTAGTTAAAGGCCATGACAAAGCTGTGTTGGACAGTTATGAATACTTTGCAGTGCTTGCTGCTGAAGAACTTGGACTCTCTATTGAAAAAGTGTAAGCAAGTGATTTCTAACATCAGCATTAGCTGCTCCTTGTACTATATATATCCCTAGTATGGGAACGCATAGTAAATATGAAGTGTTGCTTTACACATTTTGTTCATATTAGACTTGTAACTATTAGGATTATATTTTGGAGTTTTTTATTAGGGTTTGTTACAAAATTCTACATGGGTTTTCAAGAAACAGTTTTATTCAGTGCTTGTAGAATAGATATTCCAGAGCATTTTAGAAAGCATTAGTGTACACATGTGAACTGAAAGCGGCCACAGCTACTATGCACTCAGCATTATTTTAGATAAAGAAACAGGTCTAACAGAAAATGGATTCTTATCTGGGTTTTCATTCCTTTTCTAAGAAGTATTGTTTCAGTTATGCTGTAAGAACAGAATTACTGAAGGAACATGTGTTCCCTAGTTATGGTTGTCACATACATTAATTAAATGCTCCTGTTTTCCTTTCTTGAGTTTTTTCAGTAGGATCTTTGTTTTTAAGCCAAATACATCTCCCATCAGTGGGTCTGATACTAAAATGTATCAGTATTTCACACTGCTTCATATACATGTATTATGTAGGGATGCTGGTGCTTTGTTCTAGAGGCATGCATTATGGATACTATTTGTAATTTACAATATGGGTATGGATATAAATGTAATACAAACTTGTGCTTGTTAGGTATGAACCTCCTAGGAAGATAGAACGAATGACTCTTCTAAAATCGGTACACGTTTACAAGAAGCATAGAGTTCAGTATGAAATGAGGACATATTACAGATGTCTAGAAGTGAGTATGTGGGGTGAGGACTGATAGTATTTGCCTCCTGGCTGGTCCTCCGCGAATCAGCGGTGGAAGGCAAAAATTGTTCCATATTTAAAACTGGTTTTTGCCCCCCGCCCCTGATCATGGGTGAATGGCAAGGCCCTCCACCAATCAGCGGGGGGGGGGAGGGGGACGACGACGACCTGCAAAGTTAAAGAAGCTGCTGCGTGGCCCACTTCCACTGCAAATTCAGTAGGTCCCTACTTATTGCAAACTACTGTTGGCTAGGCAGTGTTATACAGGAAACCCTCGCCCTTCACGGATTCACGATTCGTGGTTTTGAATATTTGCGGTGCAAATATTCGAACCCACACTCTCTCACCGCACGCTCTTGACATGCTCCCCCGCAGTCCTGGCAGTGTCTGTGGGAGCTCTGTGCTTGCCACCGCCAGGCTCCCGCCGCCATTCATGAATGTATTTGTGTATTTCCCTATTCACAGGGATCCCCAGAACGTATACCCCCACAGAAGGCGAGGGTTTCCTGTACTTCATGCACCTATTAGGATGCAATTTGAAAGTCATTGTCACTGCACATGTTTCTATACTGCATCTCTTTCTCTATATGAATTACTGACTTTTTGGAAAATACAATTAATTAACAAAAAGGCCACCATTGGCATTCTGTGTTCTTCCAGAGTCAGGGACTGCCATTTAATATACATTTTTATAGGGCCATCACAATAGGACCCTAACAGAGTTAGGCCCCTAGGCATTAACGCAATAAAGATGTTTGGGAGTACAGAACAGAGGAAAAATCTTTGAGATGATGGAAGAAATGAACCCTTCACTATGCTGCTGTAGCATTTCTAACACTTCGTAGATCTTCCCCCTGGAGTATACAGTTGTACAGATAAAATAATTTAATTAGTAGTATGTAATTAACACACTTTTTTCTTTTAGCTAAAACACTTAACTGGCAGTACAGCTAATGTTTACTTGGAATACATCCAACGAAACTTACCTGAAGGGGTTGCCATGGAAGTAAAAAAGGTAACGTGGTTTGTTTTTTGGGTTGTTGTTTTTTTTTGGGGGGGGGGGGGGGGGGCGTTGAATCTGTGGAACTCCACTGCAGAGTTTCTCTGTTGGGGAGAGGGGACTAGGAAGTGAAGGAACCAGATAGTGGAGAACATTTTGGCATGCGGAGGTGGGGGAGTTGTGCTATTCTTAAAATTACTTTGGCCAGGACCTGATAATTTTGGAATTGAATTCATATAAATGTGAATACAGCAAAGAAGATTAGATTATTCCCTTAGAATAATTCAATTGAATGTAAACTGCTAAGTGAAATCTCAGAATATTTATTTGTCTTGTTTTTAGACCAAAATAGAAAAGCTACCTGAACATATTCAGAAACCAATATGGGGGACACTGCCTCAAGTAGAAGAAACTGTAAATGAGTCATGAATTCTTCATATACTTCAGCTCTTCCCAGTCTCTGTTGGTATGGGAAGGTCAATTATTTTTTTATCTAAACTTAACATTAATATTTCATAGGACTGCAAATCCTGTTTTGATTTACAAACATAATATAAAACCATGATGAAGATAGAGATGTCCATGTCAGCCCGTGTGAAATTATTTTGGATCCTAGCTCCAGGAACATGTTTTTGACCAACAGCTTATCATGCATTGTCTTGTTCTCTTAAGTTAATCAAAGTTTTGTATATTAAAAAACAAAAGACTTGAGCTATGTGTTCTACAGAATCCATTCCATTCATCATCTTGCTTGAATAGTCTCCTGTGTGAGGGGGTACATTTCTCTTATACTTAGTATTTAGCAAGGTATTGAAAAAATGAGAGAACTTCATCAACTCTTAAATGTTGGTATCTTCACTTGAGCAATTGTAAATGTGAGACTTGAATGTCTGTATTTCTAGAGGAGAAATCAGCAACAGAAAGGCTATTTCTGCAGTGCAACTTCTTTATTTCTATTCTTTGCACAGTTCTTGACAAGATATGCAGGTGATCCCATCTTTTGAATATCTCAAGCAAAATGATAACACCCAGGAAGTAACAATTCAGCAAAAATGTAGTCTTATTAGAATGATTAAGAGCAAACTCTTGCTGTTTGCTACAGTTCTTATAAATAAACTGCACTTCAAAACTGAACATACTATTTCTGTCCAGATAGTATACAAGCAGGATGCAGAGAAAAATCATTATCTGTAACAGTGTCATTCGATTCTGTCCATAGGAGTAATAACTCGTATAAAAACTAGCATATCAGTCACTGGTTTGCATGACCTTTTCCATGGATATGGAAAACAAAACACTTCCATAGGTATTGCTGGGGTTGTCCAGTTATTAGGGTACTAAACAAGAACTCAAAGCTTTTCTCTTTCATACTGTCCTGTGTGACTTTGCATGAGTCACTTAAAGAAGTACAGAAGCACTTTGAAAGGAGGAGCAAAACCCCACACTGCTGTCTCTCAAACAGTGGTTGTTTGCTCCCTCTAATGGAGAGGGAGGTCACAGTAGAGTGCCAGCCCAAGGGTAGTAGATATTTCAGAAACATCCATTAACTGTTTTTCTATTGTTCAGCATTTGGAGACTAAAGTAGTAAGCCTCTTATTGTGAATGGATCACTCGGCTTTTCTCATCATGTTTCACACTTCTTACATGCTCGCGTTACCTATTAAATAAATTGGGATTTGGGGATTGGTCTCCCCACTCTCCCTTGAAAATGGGTTTTCTGGCAAAAGAGGTTCAACCTCTGCCATCCTTGGGCTGCCAGAAAGCATGTAGATGTTTTCTCTTAGTTTGACAACCTGTTGTATTTAGTCAAATCAGATGTTTATTTTACCATTAGCTCCGTAGTGGGGGAAGTCTATGTTTACAGTTAAAAGCAACAGCAATGATATGGCCAGATTGTGTTCTCAGAATTTAATAAATTCCAGCATCTCGATCCCACCCTGTAAATTTAAGAAGAAAGGCGGTTGAAGAGCCAGGAGAACAGGGCTCCAACACTGGGTTTTTGGCAAAGGAGGAAGTGGAGCTATAGTGATGAGCTTCAGATCTGTGAGAGAAGTTCATAAAGCATATCAGAAGGGCCACTTTCTGCCTGAGGAATAACAACTACTCCCCAGCAACTTCCAAAATCTGAGCAGTAGGAGCCTTGGAGTGTTGCTAACTTGTGCATCCCTTCCCCCTCTTTGCCTCCCATTCTACCATCACAATGCAATTATATGCCTGTCTCTACTGCTTAATTCACCTGATGAGATGCAGAGAATAATTTGGAGTATTCCTGCCAGATCCAGATACTGGGATGTTGGAACATTATGATCAGGGCCTCTATAGGATTCTGAACTGAGAGGCAACAATACACTGCCATTAGAGCTTGCAGTTCCCTGCAATGAAAGTCTTTCCAGCTTGAAACAGTCAAAAAGCCATAAAGCTGGCTTCAAATCAGGTTATTTTCATTTGCAATCTAGGGCCACATCTAGGGCAAACATGCAATATGTGGCACTGCGCACACATGCAGGTGTGCCCCTGCCTTGCAGCATGGAAAGGAGTGGTTTGACTCCAGAAAATCCCAGGGTCAAAAAAGGCCACGCCAGAAAAAGCAGGGCAGTGCATGTGGCGGCAGCGCACCACACTCCAGCTGCTGGCCAGGCTTCCTGCCATGGCTGCAGCCCCGGGACGCCCCCAAGACCTCGGGTAAGGCTGCTCAGACCAGCACAGTTGCTGGTCCCAGGCTTCCCTACCCCACTCGAAGTGAGCTGCTGTGTGCCAGAACACACATGGCAGGAGTGTTCCCCAGGCACAAGTAGCAACGGCACAAGGTGTGCTGCTGCTACTTGTCCCTGGGGAAATAAATGTCCATGCTCCTCTGGACATGCCCTAGGAGGCTTTTGGTGTCATGCTTTCCATTTTGTTCCAAAAGCATAAGGGGTAGAAATGCAAAATAAAAAATACAAAATAAAATAAAAAAAAAACCACATATCTACCCTACTAACTGTAATGGGTAATGCCTTTAAACCTGAGATTCCCCAGATAGAATCCTAGCAGAACTCCAGAAACTCTTTCAACCAGCAAAAATGTCACGTGTTGAAAAGATGCCTGAGGAATCTGGAGAAGCAAGGGATCAGCATGGCTGACTCGTGATTTTTCAAATCTTAAATGATGAACTAGTCTGTGATAGATTTTTAACTAGAATGCTCAGAGTGCTCACTCTAGGCTCTACCTAGAACTGTAAGTGCACAAAGCTAATGAACAAACTAACATTCAAATGAAAAACATAGGTGGAGCAGAGAAAAAGATCATTCATTAAGAACAAGGAAACTAGGAAAATGCAAGCAAATACTCATCAAAACTCATGCAAAGGCAAATGCACAAATTACAGAGTAATTTGTGACAAAATGCAAAGGCAAACTGGAAAAAGGTAAAGAAAAACATGAGAATACTTAATGCCCTGCATGCATTTATTTATTAGATTTATATCCCATCCTATCCAGTAGGCTCAGAGTGGTTTACAACAAACAACCCACAGATGGTGATGGATGCTTTGCAAGAGCTGCAACAAGAGAAATAATTGTCAAACCGTGTATGTGCACACGTGCACCAGCCACCTTCTCCAGGTAGCCCGGTTATTAAGAGGCTGAGATTTTGCACGTTTGACAATGCAGCATGAAGCAGCAAAAATATAGTATTACAAACAATAAAATAGAAGCAAAGACTGCATACAAATAGGTAACAGTACCAAGTAAACACTGGGGCATTAGTGAATATGCCTAGTGACAAAGGTTTTCTTTGTTATGCAAAACTGCAATGAAGCACAGACAAATTAAAATTACACAGTAGCACAATCATAATGTCACAAGGCCAACATAATTTACAAGCACAGTACCAAGTGAAAGTATCAAACGTGTGCCAAACCTGAACAATTTCTTGAGCTAGAATGGTTAAGCCATGCCAATTTTTGTAGCCAACAGTATTGCCTTTTGACTCCAGCCCAAAGGACCTGGAACCTATTTACAGCTGTGTTGACTGAATGAATGCATGAATTCAAAGCAGGGTTCAAACTTGCACCTTTAGAACCAACAAGATTCCCTAGCTGCATTATCTTGATGTAGGCAGAACAAATTTGTTCTAAAGCCTTACCTAACATGAGGTCAGAGAAATGGACCTGCAATGGTTACCCAGGTTACTTTCTCTCTTCTAAACGATAGGTTCAAAAGTTCATTACACATGATTATCCAGTCATGGGTTACTCCCATCGCTTGACAGATTTGTTCAAATTACTCATGCCTGAATCTTCAATTTCATGTGCCAGTTCATTCAGAATTCTGGGAAGCAGCTTATCCAGTTCCCATTTCCTTCTGGGTTGAGATCATTAAGCACTTTTTGTTTTGCCACAATTAATATTGTAGCAATTTCCACATCCTTATACCTTTTATAGCTGTCTTGTCTTTGTTACTGTACTGAAACGTGAATAATTCATTTCATTCCTATATACCGATACTCTACCCCTTTGTCACTGAAGAACTGCCTTGCTGCAAAGCAGTGAAGAATTTCGGCCAACATGGTATCTAAAGCACTGTCATTTCAAGCAGTGGATCCCAATTTGCTTGCACTGAGTTTGTACTGTGTAGGAATTCAGTCATTTGACAGTGTTGCCACAACACTGCAGTTGAAACAAACAGACTGTACAAACCAAAGAATACTGCAAAAAACAAAGAAAATAAATGTTAAGACGCACAAACTGAGTAATAGTCCTGCAGAGAGGGCTTTAGTATCAAGCCTATCATCTTATTAAGATGTACACATACCTTGGTGTCTACAGCCATGCTACACCAGTCATTGTGGATGGAGTAACATCAAAAAAGGAAGAGACAGGCAAAGGCCAAAAAACCTATTACAACCATCAAGCTGAAGGATTCCCCCCCCCCACACACACACACACACACACCTGAACAACTAGGAAACTTAGCATCAGACTATTTCCTGGGGGCATATCCTGCACTTGGAAAGAAGCTTCATGGGCTGAACAGGTAAGTCAGAACAGCTACTGTTCTCAGTGGTGGTAGATGACAGAACAAGGGAAGCTTAGGTTAGTTATATATTAGGAAAAACTCTCACAAGGAGGGTAGTAAAGCACTGGAACAGATTACCCAGAGAGACTGTGGAATCTCCATCTGTGGAGGTTTTTAAGACCCAGCGAGACAAAGCTTTGACTGGGATGATATAGGTGGGGATGGTCCTGCTTTGAGTAGGGGGTTGGACTAGGTGACCTCCTCAGGTCCCTTCCAACCCTCATTTTCTATCATTCTGAGTCTTTGTTGACATACTATAGGAGCAAGGTACTCGCCAGGTACAGCAGATACTTCACCAAAACCGCAAATACATTTGCACGCTATGAATCCAGAACAAGGACACAGCTATAGTGCAATATGCAGCTGAGACTTGATCAGCTGGACACAGGCTACCGAGTGACTGAATGATATCAGAACACTCTTAAAACACCACTTCACCAGTCAGACTCCTTTTACTGCAAGAAGGGTTTGCACTTGCTTCTGTGTCAAATGTCCTGCAGGGTAAACATAAGACTGTACAACATTAAAGCAAGGAAGAACAAACCTCCCAAAGAGGGAAATGATTTTGTTGCCAAAAAAGTTAAGCATTCTTGTATAGTTTCTAGTCCTCCCATAGTCTAGTATGATTGTGTATAAGAATTTAGAGAACTTTGCTTTCAGGAAGTGCTTGGGGAGAGAAAATAGCACAAGTGGAGGAAGGTCAGAATGTTGTACTTGTTTCCTTCTCTTGTCAGTGAACACTGAACAGGAGATACTGAGGGGAGGTAGACAGACTGCATGACAGAGGAGTCAAGTAATAGAAATGATATTAGGTATAGTACAATGAAGTGCAAGTTCATGCACTTAGGCCTAACAAGAATTTCTAGACAGAAAGCTCATGAAAAATGAGAGTTGCAATGAATTCATCAAAATATGACCATGAGCCTCACCTTGAGTAAGTTCTTCACTGTACCTTTCAACTGGAGGGGCTCAAAGCCATATTAAAAGACACCTGCTAAATCTGTTGGAGATTCCCTGAAGGAGACTACTGTTGTTCTGACCCTGCTTTACACTGACAAGAAAAAGCCACTA